CTTTAAAAGGCATGAAAATACACCACATTATAACATGACATTAAAAAAGTAAAAAATGTGCTTATTAAAAAAAAAAGGAAGTGTAAATAGCCCTGACATAGAACATGGTGGTGGATCATGGCTTGAGCTTTACCCTGCTGTAGATGCTGAACTAGAACCTGTGCAGCACACAATCTGACTCTAGGGAGCAATAAGTAGGTAGGGTAATATAGAATTCAGCAAAAAAATGTATGATTTGGTTTATTTCCTGTCGGCATATGTATATGAACTTGCTGTAGCTGTCATACTGAAATGTCAAAATGGGAAAATTGAACAGACTACTATAAGTCCTCATTGAAATGCAGTGACTGTCAAAACTGACGCTTCATAATTTCCCTGTGGACAAAAAAAAAAATCAATGTGTGGTGGAGAAAAGCCCGCAGAAGGCTGAGAGTGAATGAGAGTTTAACCCATTAGTGGCATCTGCAACAGCTGATATGGCATATGTTAATGCTCTTGTGTGTCCTGTTCCCCACCAAAGCCCAGAGGAAGTCAACTGCTTCGTAGGATTACTTAATACAAGTTTTGGTCATTGCTAGACTTAAAGGAAAGGCTGTGTCAGATTTATTTTTCCTTAAATAATTGTGCCCAGCAGAGACACGTCATTGTGGTATACTTCATTTAATATTAATCAGTTTTGACTGCGGATAATGTTATCTCCTGTGATGTCACACTAATCCCTTGTGTCTACGCAACACCCCAACTTTGTATAGTCAGATTATTACACATTAAAATACCAGAGGGGCTTTATGATAAGATAAAGTCACTATAGGTAAATAAATAATGACAATACAACAGGATATCATCATGCTTTTGTATAGTAACCCCTGTATGAAAAACTGATGAGCTGCTATAAAGGCCCTGTTAGCACAGGGTCTCTTATATACAATAACATACAGTACCTACTAAAAGAATAGGCAATATGTTTACATTATTAGAAAGCATGTTTTAAACCACCATCTTTTTCTGCTCTTTGCCTGCTGCAAGTATTCTACACTTCTGGTATATGGAATACATGCTCCCCTGCTGCAAACTGTGGTACTTGCTGCCAGCTCATACTTCCTGGTGTGATATATGATCTGGTGGGAGAAACCACAGCAGATAGCAGGGGAGCTAGTATTCTTAACACCTCAAAATTTGGAATTCTTGCAGCCACCAGAGAACAGTGAAGAGGTAACATTTCACTGGTTGCCAGAAATGTAAAATTATCACTAATATTATTTTAGTGATATGTTATTGTATAGATATAAACATGCAAATGTGATGTGTGAATACTAATCCTTTAATATGATCAATAAAGTATATCTAAATCCAAAAACTTTAATGTAGCCTTCTATAGAGTAGTGAATGGTTAAATCTGAAATTCAGGGATTGTTACATAGTTACATTGGTTCATCTTGGACCAATGCCAGTATAACTGTGTCATACCTGTGGGATCTTCCCTAGCTTCTGGGCCCTGTGCTGAGTTCCTGTGTGAACACTGGAGGTTGCCAACTTGGCACAGGCACCAGTAAAAGAACACTTTGCATTTTCTCAATGAGCACAAAAGTGTTTTCTAATTGGATGAGGTGGAGAGGTGGGGCAGTGATGTCACAATCGGAGGACATTGCATTCATTGAGAAAATGCAATGTGTTCTTTGAATGGTGCCCATGCCTAGTGGTGGCTACTTAGTGATTTCCAGCTTTTTTTATTTTCGCTATGTGCATTCTGTTTGGGAGACTTGCCTTCACTTCCTGTCCTGGAGTGTTCTGGAGACACAACGGGAATTTAGAGGAAATCCCAGTGGGAGGAAAAGTGCCTCATAACATTGGGAGAAATAGTGCCCCAAGGAGCACATAAAGGCTAGCAAAAGGCCACATCTGGACCTCGGACGGAAGTTTGGAGACCACTAATTTAGACATTTGGTCTGACTCTCCATTTCTTTTCTGTACCACATTAGGGTAATTTATGATTAATAATCAAAATATACAGAGAAGCCGTGAATTTGAAGACCACAAAATAAGAATAACCCCAATGAAAAAAATGTAATTATTGTTTTGGTACACAATCCATATGCTGTATAAAAAATGGCACTGATTCATTCTGTTTAATTAGATCCAGCTACAGTAATCACAGTTAGGAATTTTAGAACTTTAAGGGGTATGTGCGCAGGATTTGTTGGACAACATTGTCCTGTTTTTTGGGGAAGAAGAGGTGTGTGCTTTTTTTTCCTAACGTGTGTGTGTGTATATATATATATATATATATATATATATATATATATATATATATACCAGTAAAAGTAATATTTTTTTTATTGGAGATAAATTCATTTGTGGTGTTCATATTCACTACTTTCTATATATTTTGTTTCAATTATTTTATTACTAATAATTAAATCAATTTAGTAAGTAAGTAACCTGTCCAATATATTGTGAAGAGAACCTCATTTAAATTAATATGGATTCCATCATTTTAATTGATTGTTGATTGGTAGCTGTTGATTAACCAACCAACGTGAGAGGAAGCTGTAAAGAAGCTGCTTATAAGCTTACATTTTTCCTAGACATGCATGGGGATACATAAAAAATCCATGCAGTTTGTATCACTGTGGAGACTGAGCCTAGGACCTCGGCACTGCAAGCCCCGTGGTCACTGTTCTGCCTATGGCCTCTGTGGCGTGTTGCATATCCACTTCAGAAAGATGTTTGTGCACAGTATCTGGTAGGTGATTTGTGTTTAATAATTTTATCCTTGTGCAAGCAAATTTAAAGTGGTTCCTGTTTACCCGTAGTTTTATTGTTTGCGTTTCTTCCGCATTGTAGAGGATGGGTCACGTCAGCCCATCATTTCATGAATTATAACTATTAGGAGACCTGGCTCTTGAGAAACCCAATAGCTACAAGGCAAGAGATTTTCCTTTGGCTGTGGTATGACCAGGGCTGGTGTTAGACTATTTTACGCCTTAGGCTAGACCAGCTACTTGCAAAAAAATATTAAATCAACAAAACCTGAAACTGCTAAATTTCTTTTAATTTGCAAAAATAAGTGCCATAGGATGCCACCAGCACCAATATTAAAGACACAATAAGCGTCATGAATGGACAGTATCTGTAGCTGGCAGTGGCAGGGTGACAGTTGCAGTGAGTGGAGGAGGTTGGATCCACACCCTGACAGATCCCAGTCTGGAAATTCCCCAGTCAATGGGGGCAGATAAAACGCTGTGATCCGACACAACACACCACCACCAACACTAACACAGATCAGCAGGCCCAGCAGGTATTAGAAGAGCAAGCTGTGAGATCATGATGATGTCATCACTTACTGACACATTGCACATGTGATGGATGGATGGCCGGCTGGGTCACACTCACACAGACACGAGACATTAGAGTCAGACAGGTGCAGCTGCAGCTCCGCCTCCGCTGATGAATGGGAAGAGAAGGGCTGGAACTCCACAGTGATCAGCAGCCACCAGCCGCCTTGCAGTAAGGGACTGAGTCTGAGAGGAACACTGGAAGGAGCTGCAGCTCAGCTACTACACTGGCCTCAGACACTGGGCATCTTTCTCTGTCCTTCTGTGCACTCGTCTCCTCTCTGCTACCCCTCCCCTTAGCTGGACAACCATTCATGTTGGCGTCTCACATAGAGAGGGAGTGCCGACCTGTGCTGCACCCAGGTGCCCCTAGTTGTAGTGTGCCCTAGGCGGCTGCCTAGTTTGCCTAGTGGAAGCACTGGCCCTGGGTATGACCTTTTAGAGAATGTGAGCTAACCAATAACCTGCTCAGGGGTAGTCTGTATATTTTTTGAAAATCAGATGTTGTTTTACTTTATAGAAAAAGTGCACCAAGTTTCAGCGCTGCAGAAATGGCTTTATGTGAAAGAATATGTAAACCCAACATTTCATATTCCTGATATGTGCCTGCTGTACCATATACTTGTATGAAAAAGTATCCTGTTCTCTTTGTATGGCTTCCTTTTGTGAAATCCTTGGTGTTCCTGCCAGTTCCTCTGCTTTCCTAATAAAACTGACCATGCTATGCAGGAGAGCACAGTGTAGTCAGTTTTCTGGCTAAACTGAGAACTCAGCCTGTTCTTCTCCAATGATCAGACTTGTGATGACATGTCTCCCCCCACCGTAACCCACACAGCCATGCATTGGGACGACCAGAGTAATGTTTTTTTCTCTCTGAGCTGCTTATCCAGCTGAGAACAGAGAGTATGTAATCACTAATAAAAAAGGGAAAAAACTTATTTATAATGTTTCCTTACATGTTTATACAAATATTTAGCCTTTTGTTTATATTTTAAACTGGATGGGTTGTTTTACAAGATGAGGGTTTACATATTCTTTAACCTCTTCCTGACCACGCTATAGCTGAATGATGGCTACAGCTCGTCCAGTTCTGGGAGGGCGCCTTATGCTGCCAATCTGTGACCATTAGTGCCCCCAATCAGTGTCACTTATTAGTGCTCTTCAGTGTTGCCTATTAGTGCCCATCAGTGCTGCCAATCAGTGCCCATCATTTCCTCTCATCAGAGACCATCAGTGCCTCCTCATCAGTGCACCCTATCAGTGCCGCCTCATCAATGCCCATGAGTGCTGCCTATCAGTGCCATCAGTGCTGCCTATCGGTGCCCATCAGTGCAGCCTCATCAGTGAAGGAGAAAAAGTACTTGTTTGCAAAATTTTTATAGTACAAACTAAAAAAAACCTTTTTTTTTTTTTTTCTTTTTTGTAATTTTTGGTCTTTTTTTGTTTGTTTAGCAAAAACATAAAACACCCATGGAAGCGACATTTGAATTTTTTTTTTTTAATGTTTAAAAAATTACAACTGACATGGACGAGATCAAACTACAGAATGACTGGTGTATCAGTTATGTATGCTATATCAATTTTTCAGTGAAATTGGAGTTTGCCTTTAATGGTATCATAATATAAATCTACTGCAGCATAATATGTGTCATTTTTCTTATTTAGACGGAACCTGAAATTATTGAAGAAACGAATATTGATCGGGTAAAACAAGCCAGAACGTATATTAAATCTCGTCAAGCTAAAGGTCATTCTGAGACATCTACGCTGAGCTCTCAGCCTTCGATTGATGAAGTCAGGCAGCAGATGCACATGCTGCTAGAAGAGGCCTTCAGCCTGGCATCCGCGGGGCATGGAGGACCCAAGCGTCAAGCAGATCCATATGCTTCAGTGCAGCATATGCCATATTCAGAAGTTGTCACTAGTGCTCCTGGCACAATGTCTCGACCTCGGATGCAGTGGGTGCCAACGTATGGACCTGAAATGTATCAGTATAGCCTTCCCAGACCGGTAAGATTGTATGAAGCTTACATTTTTTGCTTGTCTAATGCACGAATGAAGCATCATGCAAATGCTGGGAATATCAAACTCACTTGTCTGCCCTTACCCCGGTCAGTTCTATTGTTATATCCTCAAGGCTAAGGTGTTCTGGAATTCCACAATGTGTGTTTGTGGAGATATATATATATATATATATATATAAATATATATCCATATATATATTTATACTATATATATATATATATATATATATATATATATATATACACACTGTACAAAAAAATTACAGGAACACTTTTAATCAGAATATAGCATCTAGTCAATTAAACTCCTGGGATATTGATCTGGTCAGTAAAGTAGTAGAGGGGGTTGTTAAACAGTTTCAGCTGCTTTAGTGTTAATTAAATTATTAACAGGTGCACTAGATGGGTAACGATGAGACAACCCCCAAAACAGGAATGGCTTTACACGTGGAGGCCACTGACAATTTTTCCCCCTACTCATCCTTTCTGACTGTTTTTCACTAGTGTTTACACTTGGCTAGGGTCAGTGTCACTACTGGTAGCATGAGGCAATACCTGGACCCTACAGAGGTTGAACAGACAATCCAACTCTTCCAGGATGGCACATCAATATGTGCCATTGCCAGAAGGTTTGCTGTGTTTCCCAGCACAGTCTCAAGAGCATGGCGGAGATTCCAGGAGACAGACAATTACTCTAGGAGAGCTGGACAGGGCCAGAGAAGGTCCTCAACCCATTAGCAGGACCAGTATCTGCTCCTGTGTGCAAGGAGGAACAGGATGAGCATTGTCAGAGCCCTACAAAATGACCTCCAGCAGGCCACTGTTGTGAATGTCTTTGACCAAACAATCAGAAACAGACTTCATGAGGGTGGCCTGCGGGCCCAACATCCTCTAATGGGCCCTGTGCTCACTGCCGGGCACCATAGAGATCCTTTGTCATTTGCCATTGAACACCAGAATTAGTAGGTCCACCACTGGTGCCTTGTGCTTTTCACAGATGAGAGCAGGTTCACCCTGAGCACATGTGACAGACGTGAAAGGGTCTGAAGAAGCTTTGGAGAATGTTATCCTACCTGTAACATCGTTCAGCATGACCGATTTGATGGTGGGTCAGTGATGGTCTGGGGAGGCATATCTATGGAGGGACGCACAGATCTCTACAGGGTAGACAATGGCACCCTGACTGTCATTAGGTATCAGGATGAAATCCTTGGACCCATTGTCAGGCGCTACGCTGGTGCAGTGGGTCCTGGGTTCCTCCTGTGCACAACAATGCCTGGCCTCATGTGGCGAGAGTATGCATGCAGTTCTTCGAGGATGAAGGAATTGATACCATTGAATGGCCCCCACTCTTGCCTGACCTAAATCCAATAGAACACCTCTGGGATATCATCTTTCGGTCCATCCAACACTGCCAGGTTGCACCTCAGACTGTCCAGGATCTCAGTGATGCCCTGTTCCAGATCTGGGAGGAAATACCCCAGGACACCATCTGTCGTCTCATTAGGAGCATGTCCCGATGTTGTCAGGCATGCATACAAGCACGTGAGGACCATATAAACTACTGAGTACCGTTTTGAGTTGCTGCAATGACATTTCAGCAAAATGGACTAGCCTCCTGCATAATTTTTTCACTTTGATTTTCAGGGTGTCTTTGAAGTCAGTCCTCTGTAGGTTGATAATTTTCATTTCCATCAAACGATGGGGCATCCTTACGTTCCCAACACATTACCCAGTCTACATCAGTATAGAGATCCAGCATGAGATTTTTCCCCATTGAGATTTGATGTGTTTTCAAAGTGTTCCTTTAATTTTTTTGAGCAGTGTACTTACCAGTACAGAACTGCAAAAAAGGAGATCCGATTCGGATGGACTGGAGGCAGTGCCAGTGGCTGGCCAATAGTGGGTGGTGTTAGTCTAGGAGAACCTAGGAGCACAAACAGGGAGAAGAAGAAAAGCAAGCATAGAACTATAGCAGATAATTTCTTTGAGAAAGCACACATCAAAAACATTCTCTAATCACTTACTGGGTTGAAGCCAAAGGAGAGCGCTTAAGAAGTTGCGGCGGCAGGCAGGCAGGCGGCAGTTCTTGATGTTAGCAACAGTGGTGGCACCATCGTTTGGGAACTGGCATGATTGGGAGTCCACAGTTCAGGGAAATCCAACCTAACAGCACAAAGAAAAAAGATAGAATGGGGGAGGGTGAAGCAGAAAAGCAAACGGGATAGTGGCTAATAGTCCAGTGGCCACTATTATGTTTGCTTTTTCCTTCATCCTCCTGGTCAAGCACACTGACATTAGTGCATACAACATGCCCCAAATCATCTCCGTGCTGCCAGCAGTAGTACACATTCACAATCAAATACATGTGGCCTGTGCCAGCAGACGTAGACTTAGACAGGCAAAAGGCGTGACCTTTTTGCGCTCTCAAACTGAACTTAGTGCACACAAAATTCCTAAAATAATCTCAGTGGTGGCAGTAAAGTAGTAGTTGTAGTACACATTCACAACACATACATGTGGCCTGTGCAGCAGATGAGTTAAGCTTAGGCAGGTAAGTGGTGTGTCCAGCCTTTTTGCATTCTCTCAAACAGATAATGGCATCATCAGGCAGAGCGGCACCTGGATACTGGATCCGTGATCACTGCAGAAGGGCACTTTGTGATATATGTGTGCCATGCTCATCCTCATATGGTGAAATTTAGATCCATGTTTTTATCCAGATAATGTACATAAAGATGTGAAAATGAAGAAATCCCGGCCACACCTCCCCTTCCCCCCAAATATTTTTCTAATGTTCTAGAGGCCTCCTTTCTGAAAATATGGGTAATTTATTAAAGAACCTGGCAAAAAAAACCAGAGAATAGGGGCTTCTAATCTTCTCTATATCTGATCGCTTTTCAGAGAGTGAGGGCTCTCTACCTCCTTCATCTCTGATCTCCAGTTAGAAAGTAATATGTAATGGAACTGGACCCCAACTGCACTAGGGTATTCCCATTAGACTCCAGCTTCCCTGTCCGAACACAGATCCACGGACACCACCGCTGACCAAACAGGGCGAGACACCACCAGATTTGTATGAAAGACAGGAAATAGACTGCTTTTTTTAAACATAGATACAAGATATATACACAGGGCGGGGAAATACACCCAGCAACAGGAAACACATCAGCAGGCCATCCCATCAGGGGGAAAGGGCTGCTGGAAACACCCCCCCCCCAAGCCATTACAAACACATACATCCCATAATAGTTTGCTGCCAAGCAAGACACACAATAGAACAATGGTATACACCACATGGCAGTAGACAATACACAAACCCATACATTCCATGATAATTTGCTTGCAAGCAAGACACATAATAGAACAATGGGACAACCACATGGCATTAAACAATGAACAACCCCCACACCCCACCTATACATGTCTACACAATATCAGGACAGATCACCCTGCACCCCTAAACGGGCACAGGGTGACTTACACATAATAGGAATATGGGGAGCTGAGACAGGGGTCTCCCCACCTGTCCAAAGGGGGCTGTGTTCCATGGGCCCCCCACCCAAAGTCACTCCCGTCACATAATAGATTCCAAGCTCTTTCATCTTTGACCTTCAGTTAGAGGGCCCACCACCTATTTCATCTTGCACCTCTATTCAGAGAGTGAGGGCTCTCCAACAATTTCATCACTGACCTCCAATCAGAGTGACAGCTGCTCACCTCTTTCATACCTTACCTCCAGTTACAGAGTGGGGACTTCCCACCTCTTGGATTTCTTTGATTACATTGAGGCTCCGTGCACACTAGAAGCTGAAAAAAATGCTTGAAAAATGATGTATAAAAAATGCTCAACATGAACATATCAGCTTGCAAGACTGAGACTGAGTGAGTAGCCCTACACCCCCTGGGCCAGTTAAGGGAAAAAGAGCACTCTGATGGGAAACCTGATTTGCTTCTTACCCAGGACTGTTTCATTTAAAGTGCCAGGCACTGGATTCCATTGCCCGGGCATTCCCTCAGGCAGCTGGATAAGAAGAGGATTTTCCGGGGTCTGGGGTGGTACACTGGGAGAGGCTGGGGAGCTCTCCAAGAAGAGTTTCTGCTATGTAAAGATTTGCATACTTAGGTACATACTTACTAAGGAGTTTGTCCTCGGTTTGCAGGTCCATTGGGCATCCCATACACCCCTTACCCCATCCAAGTACAACACCCCTTAATAAACCATAAAACCAAGCTCAATGACTGTTTACTGACTTTGAATACAAGTCTGTGAAAAATGCTTGTTGCCTGGCTGTGCAGGACTATAGGGGGATCCAAATCAAATCTTCAGCACCTCCTACAGTAGTGCTACATGTATATATTGCTTTAGAGAAGTTATTTAAATACATGCTGAATGTGCCTCAATATAAATCAGTGTTTCTAACTGCTTATGATACACAGAAAGAGTGGTAAATGCATGAATGAACTTTCACATCACATCTATGATTACACTGATGTTCCTACTTGGTTGTGTAAAATGAGATGTGGATGTATCCTGACTGAACATAATCATTACAGACACATTGTAAGGCTAGAAAGGCGTAGATGTTGTGTGAAAGTAAACCTCCAGCCTGGAGCTGGTTAAAGTAGTTACAGCAAACCCATGCACATGTTTTACATAAACAGGAGGTTTTGGTGACTCGCTATGCCACACATCCTTATATTTTATAAGGGATTCTTTAGTCTATTTCATTTTTATTCAGATCTGCACAACTATTTATGGCTTTGGAAGTGTTTTATCTTTTTGGACACTAATGGTGTGGGGCGTACACAAGTCTGTGAAAGTATGGGCTCTGTTGTGTGGATTTGGGTGGGTTTTAGGTGGATTGGTGGTAAACGTTTAGTGCTGTGGAGGATTAGGTAAGGGATACCTCACTTGGCTCTGGCAGTGATGAAGGAGAAACATTTCTTTTAGATTTACCAAAACCTTTGCGGTTTGAAGACCTG